AAAAAAAAAAAAAAAAAAAAAAAAAAAAAAAAAAAAAAAAAAAAAAAAAAAAAAAAAAAGGAAAAAAGAAAAAAAGAAAAAAGAAAATCAAAATTCTCTCTAAGCTCTTTTCTTTGAGCCTTGACTACAAAAGCACAAAAGGGAAGAAACGGGCAGCTTCACAGCTGTTGCTAATACCATCTAAAATAGATATTATAATTTATATAATATATAGTACTTTGTATACACTAAGCTTATAGTATTAATTAAATACCAAACCATACAAACATATGCTTCAACTATTATTTATTATAGTATAAAAGTTAGGTATATTTATATAAATTAAACCCCATATTATAATTCAACCCTAAACTATAGAATATACGTAGCTATTTGAATCAAGACGTTGTTTTGCCTATGACCCAGATGGAAAAATGACTCGAACTATATCGAACCGTTGTTTTTCCTATGACCCAGATGGGAAAATGACTCGAACTATATCGAACCGTTGTTTTGCCTATGACCCAGATGGAAAAATGACTCTAACTAGATCGAACTCTAACTGTAAGAGAAATAGTACGTGTCAGTTACGGGTAAGCTATGAGGTTATGAAAGGTATGTATGAAGTAAAATAAAGAGAAATAGGGGATAGAGTATGCATAATACATGAAAATGAATATAAAGATAGGAGCTTTAATTGTTTTCAACAGTGTGTCTCAATTATTTTGGAGAAGTGGATCTGTTTGATGGGTCTTGAGGTGGATGAATGATGAGAGAGAGAGAGAGAGAGGAGAGAGAATGAAGAAGGGTTTGCTTCATAAGAAAGGGAAATGAAGAGGAGTACACAGACCTGGATGGACCACCACCATGGCTTGTAATTAGGGCTGATTAAAAACCCTAAAAAGGAGCTATGGAAACTTGGACCAGAAGCACACCAACACGATTCAATAGGTTTATCTCTTTCGTTATAAATTTATAAATTAAGTCTGTATCGATTAGTCTCTGTACGGGTTAAATTGTTAGAAAGTGTATAGTATAAGGACTAAATTGTTACAAATTTGAAAGTACGAACACGATCGTGGGAGCCATCTCTCAGAGATTTTATAGAAAAAGAAGAAAGAAAAAAAAAATGATAAGATGATGGCTAGGCTTCACGTTTTGTTTCACCTTCTCATTCACCAATGTTGGAACCAAATGATGGGATTGAGAACCCTTCACTTTCCACCAACTCTCTCCCTTTCCCGTTTTCTTCCCTTGACTCAATTCGGATATCACAATCTACCTCTTTAGAGACCAACGTTTTTTATTGACATACTACGCAGTGTCTAGCTTTGATACTATGTATACTAGTCTAAGTCCACCGTTTGCAAATATTGTCCGTTTTAATCTATTACATATTGAGTCTCACAGTTTTACAACACGTCTAATAAGTAGATTTTCAATATCTTTATAAGGAATGTTTTGTTCTATTCTCTAATTGATGTCAGATCTTCGAAAATATAATGACAAATATAAATTAATAAAGAAATACAAAGATCGGACAACTTAGGTGGGACAACAAATGTTATTCCCTATTATTGTTCTCGAAATAAAATCGAGGAAAATTTTTATTGTTCCCAACCTAATATTAACACCTTTTCACCCTACTCTTCAATTGAAACCCATAAAAATTTGTGATTTTGTTAGTTCAACTCGAATCGAGACTTTAACTTCTAATCTATTAATTGATGATATAAGTATATATGTCGATTAAATGAGTTTCCAACTTAAACGAGATGAAAATTTTTTATTTCTTTTTATTATTTATTTTACGTTGTAACAGACAAACCTAGTGAACATCAATTGAGTTATACTCATATTGATAGTTTGTATTTAATATACGTAAATATTATTGTCACGGTTAATTGTAATTTAAAAAAATGATCTTGATAGTAAAAAAAAAATAAAAGAATAATAATATGTTTTAATTTGGGAGATGGGGCATATGTCCTTGAGCAGTACAATATTATTGTTACAGTTAATTTGTACGGTTTATATGGTTGTCTTTGGTTGTTGGAACATAAATTCATATTCCACCATTGTTTGCAATAATTGGGACTTCCATTTTATTATTATTATTATTATTATTGCAACTTGACAAAATAGATATTTATAAACTAAAATATGTCAACAAAATATATTTTAAATCTCGATTCTTGGGATAATTTTCAAACATGATTTAATGGCCGACCTAACTATATAAAATTTCTCATTTTATCATAGCATAAAAATTCATATATATCTTAATTAATATGCATGTATTTATTTTAATTTTGTAATTATCTTTAAATCTAAAAATAAAGCAATCTGATCCGATCCATAAACAACCAACATATTACACACTTCAAAGTTTCGAGAACTTAAATTTAGCTGAAAGACAAGGAATAAACAGTTGCGTTTAATGAAATCCAATTTATTTGGTTACTTTCGTGGCTTTGATTGTAACATAAAAAGAGAAAAATGAATGAATTATAACACATATATATGTGTCACATTACATCATTGTTATAAGATCTTTATAATGCTTTGTATGCATGTGACATTAAATATATCCAATTAATATAGTAGTAGACATTATTTAATTTATGAACCTTATAGGCCTCCATATATAATTGAAGTGCCAGTTTCGAGCTTTGAGGATAAGAAACCAAAAAACAAAACAAAATAAATTTAAATCATTCCATAAAATATTCATTCGAGGTGAATAATATCTTACTTTGGGTTAAAATATCTGTCTTAATTCTTCCAAATTTAAAGTATATAATATAAGAGATTCTTTTGCTTTTACCTTTCGAAATTATTTTCATGAACTATGATTGTGTTGACTGATATATTGTAGATTTATTCACAAATTCTTATTTAAAATTTTAATTATATATGAGATATTATTTTATTTTTGATACTTTTTTTGTGTTTCTGGCTTGGGTATGTCAAAATCTAACCATTGCTATAGAATCCTCAAAATGTCGAACAAAGAATTGTGAGCTTTGAAGGTGTAGTCAAGAAGTGAATAAAGTGTCGAATAAAGGGTGTGCTTTGTTCGAGGGCTCCAAAGAAGAAGTCAAGCCTCGATAAGGAAAGGCTTTTCGAGGGCTCTATAGGCCTTAGGGAAGGCTCTATGTGGTACTTTGTTCGAGGGGAGGAGTGTTAGGAGAGAGTCATACATAGACTAATTTAGGGAATGATGATGGGTAGGAGGCATTTTGGGAAGCACTATATCATACTATGTGATTTCTATCGATTTCAATTAAGCTTAATTTTGAAAATTAAAAAAATAATTTTTGTTTTTAAATAGAAAATTAAAATATTATTAAAGAGAAAAATGGATTCGAGCTGAGATTTGTTAGCCCTAAAGGCAGATTGCGGGATTCCTTCACCTTTGAGGATGTGCCGAAGAAATCATGAGATTGTGTTTAATCTGGCCTTCAAATTTCAGTGCTCGGTGTCGTCATGTTGTGGTGATCAACCTTGAGGAGGGATATGGAAGAGCATAAGAATATTTGGCCATATGCTACCAAAATTGCAGCACTAACCGAGCGAAATTATTCTATATTCTTCTGATGAAAATGGCAGGTAAAACCACGACATGCTTAATAATGTGTAGCATATTCTGATTGTTTATCTTATGGAGGACGTCAATATGTAGTTGTGATGGGGAGTTGGGTACGTACAAATGGCTGCTTCCTTTTTGCCTATCAGGTGTTTGATAAAATGACTGAATCAATTTTCAAATGTAGAGGTTGCTCTGCCTATGTTATTCTTTCTTATATTCATATTCCTTTTATTTTCCTTTTTACTTGTGCATCGTCTACCCATTTGAATATTATGTTAAACTTGAGATCCCAGGTCTACCCATTTGAATATTATGTTAAACTTGAGATCCTAGGTCTGTTAGAGAGTAGAACTAAGCATTTTTTACAAAGGTATTGAAACCTCCCCTAACACTGAGGGAAGCTCGAAGAGGACAATATCTGCTGATGATGAGTTTGAATTGTTACAAATGGTATCAAAGGCACACATTACCGAGGATGTTGGACCTAAAAGGAAGTGGACATTGGGCAGTGTGCCAATGAAGACATTGCACCTCGAAGGAAGTGAATTGTGAGATTTTACATCAATTGGAAAGAGGAACGAGTGCGAGAAGACACTGACTCCAAATGGGGGTGGTTTGTGAGATCCCACGTTGGTTGGAGAGGGGAACGAAACATTCTTTATAAGGGTGTGTCCTCTCGAGGGAAAGTCCAAAGAGGACAATGTCTAGCGGTGAGTTTGTAGTAATGGAAAGAAGTTGTATGCATGCAATTCTATAGGGAGTTCCCATGAGGGATTGATCCAATTATCTGGTTTCTGCAGCTTGGTTTCTTCAAGGGGAATAACAATGCGCTTTCCTTTGACAAGAAGGTGGACAAGTTTCCAGAGCTGGCCAAAAGGTAGTGTCTTCTTTTCCTCCCAACATGCAAGATCGCTTGAAATTGTAGTGCTGTAGACATTTCCTAAAAAGATTTTCTCAAACTTGTGACTTTTCCTTTCTTATATTCTCTGTTCTAATTTTATGGTGGGGTTGGTTTACAACTTCCATCTAATCATTCCTTCCTTCCTTTAACTCTTAAAGATCATAATCGAGGTGTCTTGAACAAGGATGTTGTACCAGAAACCTCATGTACTAGAAAACTCAAAAGAACAGCATTTGATGTTTTGTCTCCTGACATTTCTACACCAAACATGGCCGTGGAACTTATAGATCACAGGAATGATGAATTTGAAGGGGTCATCATTAATTCCCAGAGCCTACCCTCTTCTGCAAACACTTTTACATCAGCTCTCCAAGCATCTCTCTTCCCTCGAAGGTGGAGAAACCTCTCCCTAACAGAATCATTTTAAAAACCTTGAGGGTAAGCCAGAAAGAGAAAGCTTAAAGAGGACAATACCACGGTTTGTACTGTTACACAAAGTCCGAGGAAAGTAGAGTTTCTTCGTCTTTTTAATACCACGGTTTCTCTTGGGAACTCTGCACTTTGAACCATTTTTTTCCCGTGCAGGGAAAAGAGGGCTATGGCTCAAATTACATACAGAGCAGGCTGAAGTTGTTCTTGTGGCTATTAATGTGAGATATTAACTGATGTTTTGATTTCATGGGTATTATTAGATATTTTAGAGTTGTAATTTTCAGGAGGGGTTCAACTATCATCATGCTGAAGCAGGGTATGCCATGCTCACTTTCTGGATTCCTGATCTGTCCTCCATGCTTTCTTCTGACTCCTCGCATCATTTTGGCGCTGCAGCATTCCTCATCAATGACAACAAGGAGGTACCTTTTTCTACTTTCTTATTGATATCATCATACCATTCACTAAGCATTTGGTTCATGAGTGTACGGCGCTGCTTAAATTGGTGTACCACATGTTCTCGTGGGCTGTCTGGTAAGTCAAAGAAGAAACTGGAGTTAGCCATCTGATATATAACCTATAGTCTGTTCTTGGAAATTCTGTTCTATTATCAGTCAGTAAGAGCAAAAGAAGGAATAAAACGGAATTTGATTTGCTTGATAAGACTGTTGGTGTCTGTGTTTTCTGTTCTCCTTCTTCTTCTTCATGTTTCAGGCATTGCCACCTTGTGGCCTTTTGAGGACTTGAATTTGCTGTTGATTTACAAGGAAAGTCAAGCTAAACTGCAAAGGTATAATATTAAAGCCCCACTTTCAATATTTTCTCTAATATTTTCATATTACAAACATAATTATGGTTTAAGTATGATCTGGATTCTTGGATTCTTGGATTCTTATCCATTAATTTTAAGTTTAACCCTTCAATCATAACTTCATTAAAAAATCAACGGTCTATTATAAAATTTTGAAAACTTAATAACCAAAACAGAGTAGGTATAATAAAGTACAATTTATCAACTAAATACCAGATTTCCTTTTCCTTTTGAGTATATTAGTAGAAATTTGAAGAGAAGTGGATCAAAACTTGAGTACAACCATTTGGTTCCTGTTCATTCTTGTTTCATTCTTTCTTTCGTCTTTGTTTACCTCCTGAAATAAATCCATAGGGTCACCACAAATTCGAGTTCCTTTTGCATTTCCTTCTAGATCAATTTGCTTGGCTCTTCTCCTTGGACGAGAAGTTTAAGAAAACTTAGGAGGACATATACAATGAGTCAAAGGAGAAGGAGAATGCATCGAGAGTGTTTACAGGAGAGTAAAAGAGTGAAAGAAAGGCTAAGGTGAGCTTGCGAATAAGTAAGCAAGCACAACTCAACTCTTCTCTGAAAAAGTCTCTAAACTCAAAATGGTGAGATATTTGTACCAGCAAGGATACTGGCCTCGAAGAGGGAGTGAATTGTGAAATCTTACATTAGTAGACTCGTTTACAAGGGTGTCCTTTTCATAGTAGACTCGTTTTAAAAACCTTGAGAAGAAGTCCGACAGGAAAAGCCTAAAAAAAACAATATCTACTAGCAATGATCTTGGACTCTTACACGAAGAACAATTGAAGCTTAGATATTAATAGGGTGGATGATTAAAAAAGGGCATGAATCTCTACTGTAAAGGATATGGAAGATTCTAGATGATGAAAAAGTGAAAATATAAAATGAGGTCGTTGGATTGGATGATTAAGAGAGAACGTGTGAATGAAACTGGAGGGCGCTGATTACGGAGGGGTTCTTTTGTAAAACCATTGGTTGGCCGTTGTTGAGTGTGTATGAGCCAGCAGTTTTAGGAAGAAGACCAACTATCAAAGTTAGTGATCCAGATCAGCATGCCCGCTCATGCGGTTCACTGCACCCCACGTTGGGCGCAACCATTTGGGTTAGGTAAATTTCTAATTATGTGTTTAATAAATTATTATCTATTTATCATTTATTATTTTTTAATAATTTTAAATAATATTTCAAAATGAAGGAATTATCATTTATTATTTTTTAATAATTTTAAATAATATTTCAAAATGAAGGAATTTAGTTCTTTAACCATACGGATCCAATAAATCAATTTTAAAAAACTTTGTAATTTAGCCATTTTTATTACACTTTCATAATTAAATTATCAATAAATTAACGTAATCCTCGACTTTCAGAATATTACACGTTAGATTTGTGAGATTTATTAGACTTTCTTTTTATGGTGTTTGCATTAAAATAAATTATTAGTATTTAAATAATTATAAATACGTAATTCGTTACAAACTACTCACGACATAAATTTTAAACCTAATTCAATTGATTAAAACACGTTTAAATTTTTCATATGTCTACGTTATTATTATAAATTTAATAATTATAAAAAAAATTGATATATTGTTCATCGTATTTGGAAATGAAAAAAAAAAAATTAATTAAGTGAATGGAACCAAACAAATGACATGGAAACTGTGCACCGCATACGAATTAATGTCCCATTTATCAATAAGAAAAAAACAAAAAAAAAAAAAAGAAAAAAGGGCGAATCCAAGCCGTCGGATTAAACTACACCGCTTACTCTGATTCAAGAAACAAACAAACTAAAAAACTAAAATGGAAATAAAAGTCTAAACAACAACGTATAAAGCAGTTTCCACATTGCCCGTGTTATCCGGCCTCTCCTATCACATTACGACACGTGGATATTGACAACGCGATTCCTACCTTTATTATTCCCTCCGAATCAAATAATTTAATTCACCCTATGTTTGATTAAATAGTTACATATTTCAATTCAAAGATTCTTATCTTTTTTTTTTCTTAATAAAATACTACTTTTATGTCAATTATGGTATATATCAATTAATTACTTTTTACTTCAAAATTTTATTTTCTGAATTATAATATTTTTACTAAGATAAATATCATGAAATTTATATAATTTTAAAGAGCTGAATGGTTAAAAGTTAAAACATTTTTTGTGTCAAGTTTAGTCCAATCAATTAATTAATACATTAATTTTTTTTTCTATAAATGGTATATTTTCATTTATTTTCTTTTCCTATTTAAATTTATTTTCAAACCTACTTTTACACCTCGAATGCATCATTTTTATTTATAATTATCTAATTTTATTCATTTGATAATATTTATTTATTTTAAATTAGGCTTGTTTTCTTACTTTTTATATTTATTAATAAATTATTAAATTATTACCCACAATTTTCAAAGCAAACATTTTTTTTTAATATCAAATATGAGCTAGGATACTCTCATCTTGCTATTATTTATTTATTTTTGCTAATGGGAGCTAGGATACTCTTTTTATACATATTAAAATTAAATAAGTCAATGAATTATATCTCTTAATTAATAAATTATGCTTACGTCAACATACTCACGTATCAAATATAAAATTAAAGTCCAAATAAGAAACATTAATCAAATCAACGCCAAAGCTACATCATTATTTTTTAAAATCGATAAAATTTAAGTTTAGTTCCATTTTAGTCGTAATATTTTTTTAACATTAAAAAATGATAAAATATTGTTGACATAAACCTAAGAAAATAATAAAATAAAATTAATCTTTGGTTACAATTTAAATCTTAAAATTTAAAAATTTTATAATTTTAAACCTTAAAATACCCATAATCATAACCATAACGTGTAATAAAAGTTTAAACGCTCGTCAAAAAGCTAAAAAATCTAGCATAAAATTTTATGATTTTGTTTGACATAAAATTTAAATTTATATATAATAAGAAAATTAATTTAAAATTTAGAAACTTTTTAACCCAATACATATTTTTTTTCCATAAAAATAAATAAACTATACGAATTATTAAAGAAATTCCCGCAAACGAGGGAATCTCAATCATATTTTCCGTACAGTTAAAAAAAATACTATTATTATTTTATATATTTTTAATGTACGAAAATTGAAATTCCTGATATAGATGGGTTTTGTGAAAATTCATTGAAAAAAAAAAAAGAAAAAGAAAATCAGGTGTGTCGGCCGATGAAAGGCATCAAATTCCCACAAGGAAATGGATTCAGGAATCTACAAACCCCTCTGTTCTCGGAAGCATTGTATGGTAACTTTTATTTTCCTCCCAATAATCATTCGGTAGAAGAAAGTGGTCGCAGTTCCTCCAGTTTTCAGCCACCAGTTTTCTCTCCATCCATCTTCGAAATACCAGACTCTTTTCAGCCCCATCGATCCCACAAACCCATTTTAGCGTCTTTTCAATTTCTACTTTTACGGGTCGTCTTTCTCTATTTGGTCAACACTACCCATATATAATATATATACTTTCTTCTTCTTCAACCAAATCAGATTTGCGATTTGCCCCCAGCAACTCTCTCTTCCCCTTCATCATCGGGTTTCTTGTTCCAAAATCAAACTCTAATGGCCGCTACAGGTAATAACATTCATAATAGCAACGCGAAGATCGTCCTTGGCGATGCTGGTTATGTTCTTGAAGATGTTCCTCACTTGTCCGACTATATTTCCGATCTGCCTGTAAGATTTTCCCAACCCCATCTGATTTGATTTCTTGGGTGAAGTGTACTTGCTCTGTTTATCTTATTGGGATTTCGTTATCTGGGTGTGTTTGTTTTAGTTCACTCTGTTGATTTGAAATGGAAATTGGTACTGTTTGAATTGATTTGGTAATCCCCACTTTGTTTTACTGCTCATTTGATTGATTTTGGTGGTTGTTTTGATGGCAGACGTATTCCAATCCGTTGCAAGACAATCCTGCTTACTCTGTAGTCAAGTTTGTGCTTCTTCTTTTGTGGTTTTTTCAATCTGATATGTGTTTTTTAATGGTTTGTTTTGACATTGGCTGGTTTATGTTTATGATTGATGAAATTAATCTGTGTGTTTTGCAGACAGTATTTTGTGCACGTTGATGATACCGTTCCTCAGAAGGTTAGCCTTTTCGTAGACCTTAACTTTCGTTTTAATGGAGTTTGGATGTTAAATTGATTAATCTTAAACTTTGGGGATTTGTGACAAAATTCTTAGAGAGCTTGTGTATCTAAGATGATATGATAAATGATACATCCCCTAGTTTATTGCACCGTTAGCAAATATTGTCTGCTTTGACTCGTTATGTATCATTGTCAGTCTTACGGTTTTAAAACGTGTCTACTAAGGAGAGATTTTCACATCTTTCTAAAGAAATGTTTCGTTCCCCTCTTCTTCCTAGTAACAAGAGTTGTGAAGTATTGGCATATGAAGATGATTATATTTGTTTTCTTTGCTTCTGTAGGTTGTTGTTCACAAGAATAGTCCAAGAGGAATACATTTTCGACGTGCTGGCCCTCGCCAACGGGTAAGCTCTGTCTCCATTCCTTTCACTATCTGTGCATGATTTCTAATATTCATCTTTTAGTTATTGAGTTGCAATGGCTTGTTGTTCAGATATACTTTAAGGCAGACGAGGTTCACGCTTGCATTGTGACATGTGGCGGTCTTTGCCCTGGACTCAACACTGTGATCAGGGAACTGGTTTGTGGCTTATACAATATGTATGGAGTGAAGAAGGTTCTGGGCATTGAAGTAAGTGATTGCCTTAATCCAGTGATTGATTTACTATAGCTGTTGGTTAAATAGGGACCAATGCAATATCTTCATGAATTTATTTAGCTAAAAGTGACTTTCAGGGTGGATATAGAGGTTTCTATTCTAAGAATACCATTCATTTAACTCCAAAGTTTGTGAATGATATCCATAAACGCGGTGGAACTGTCCTTGGGACATCACGAGGTGGTCACGATACCTCAAAAATAGTTGACAGCATTCAAGATCGTGGCATCAATCAGGTGTGAACACTCATTATGCAATTTTAGTGGAAAAGTAGATTCTTGGACCTAAGTTCATTGCTGTTCTTTCTGCAGGTTTATATAATTGGTGGAGATGGAACTCAGAGGGGAGCATCTGCTATATATGAGGTAACATTGGGAAGGATATTCTCGTTTTTCTTGATGCAAAATGCAGATAATGTTGATCTCGAGTTGCTTAGCCACTTTTCGTTATATGGTTCTTATGGGAAATAAATGATTATTTGTACCTCAGGAAGTCAGAAGAAGAGGGCTCAAAGTTGCAGTTGTTGGTATCCCGAAAACCATTGATAACGACATCCCGGTACGTTGTTCATGTTCCAACGTTGACTATTGTGGTAAATTAGATTGTTACTGGATTTAAGTGGATTTTGCCTGTTGCTGATGCAGATCATTGACAAGTCCTTTGGCTTTGACTCTGCCGTTGAGGAGGCTCAGCGTGCTATAAACGCAGCCCATGTCGAATCTGAAAGTATGGAGAATGGTATAGGGCTTGTGAAGTTGATGGGTCGCTATTGTGGTAAGACTGTGGCTTTGTTGTGTTTACGATCGGTAGAACTTGGTTCGCGATAGCATTTACGATCACTAGAACTTCTAGAACGTATCAAAGCCTAAGTTTCATTTTGCTTTTGCGGTGACAACTGCAGGGTTCATAGCGATGTACGCAACGCTTGCGAGCAGGGACGTCGACTGTTGCTTAATTCCAGAGTCGCCCTTTTATCTTGAAGGACCCGGTGGACTTTACGAATACATATCAAGATGTCTGAAAGACAACGGCCACATGGTCATTGTCATTGCAGAAGGAGCCGGGCAGGAGTTGCTGTCTGGAAGCCTTGATTCTGACAAGCTGGATGCTTCTGGTAATAAGCTTCTTCAAGATGTTGGGCTATGGATATCACAGAAAATCAAGGTTGGCTTGCAATGTGCTTTGTTCCTTTTAGTTAGATCTGTAGTACGAAGCGACTATTATAGTATGAGCCTCTACGACTCGATCATACGGTACTGAGAATTTCATTTTTCTTTCTGCAGGATCATTTTTCAAAAGAACATAAGATGACCATAAACCTCAAATATATTGGTAAGTTTGAATCAAGCATATCTCAATGCCATTGATTGTTTTATTGAACTATATGACAGATGAATAATATTATTCCTCGGACAGATCCGACGTATATGATCCGAGCTATCCCAAGTAATGCCTCGGACAATGTTTACTGCACTCTACTTGCTCAAAGTGCTATACATGGAGCAATGGCTGGCTATACTGGCTATACGAGCGGGCTTGTTAACGGAAGACAGACATACATTCCCTTCTACGTAAGACCCCGACCCTGATTACAAAATGATGTTTTACATGTTACGTTAAGGTGAAGGTTGAAACGAACTAAACCACCCCGAGTTGGTCGGTCGGTCGTTCAGTCTCACATTTTCTTCTGCTATTAGAAATTGTATGCGTTGGTCAAGTTAGGGAGGTTTGGGTTTGTTGCCATTGACACTGATTTAATTCTTCTTGCTTCATTCCATGTGCACATGAAACAACCGTCATCGGTCCATGGTTGTCGGGCCGAGTAAACATTCATTCATTAAGCTCTGCATCGAATGTTACTAACTCCGATTTGGTCAATCTGCAGAGAATCACAGAGAAACAGAACAAGGTGGTGATAACTGATAGAATGTGGGCAAGGCTTCTATCATCGACGAACCAGCCAAGCTTTCTGATTCCGAAAGACGCAGTAGCCGAGGAGTTGAAAGAGGAAGAAACGACGAACAAGTTAGACGACGACAACAACAACATCGAGGACGAGACAATGAGCAAGCCTAGTGTAATGTAGCTCAGCTCACATATGTGAAGAAATTGAAAGATGGGTGGTGTTGTAAGGCAAGGTAAGGGGTGTTTCAGTCCTTAACCAGGTGCGAAGAAGCTGTTGTTCATGGAGTTTGTTGTAGTCTAATTGTAGAGGCCCTTCCCCTCCCATGGTCTGTCTGGATTACATCTTTTGCTAATCTTTATTTTATATTAAAAATAATAGTTGGTGTCATCCTTTGGTCTTTAGATGAATTGAATTACTGCTGTATGCAATTTTTGTTAAAATAAAATATTTCAGTTTTGTCGTAAATTATCGGGTTTTACTTCAAGTCATGTCTACATTTATGCATTCTGGACTAAGTGTCTTTGTAATAAGGTAATCTGGATCTTACTTCTCATGTAGTGATTTCTTATCACATTTTCATGTTTATATTTGCCTTGTCGTGATTAATTCCTCGATTTCTAGTGTGATTTCGAGTGAGGATCATAGGCTTCGTGGTGTCGTCGTTTCAAGCTTCATACTCTATCGATGTGTGACTAGCCCCTCTCCGCAAACTCATCTGCTTTTTAAATTTTTATAAAAATTAAGTAATAAAGCAAGAAATCTATAAATAAAAGTAATTTTTATAAACTTAATTTTAAAAAGCATAAAATCATAAACAAAATAGTTATTGTAAAAAAAGTACTGTTTTTTAAACTAAAAAAACGGTTACATTTTATACCTAAATATTTATTTATGTTGTAATTTACTTTTAAAAAAACTTTTGATATCAAAAGTCAAATTTATATAAATAAAAAAGAGTATCAATTTTTACCTTGATTTGGAAAATGAATAAATTATTATATTTTAACATTTTAAATTTTAAATAACTTAAGTGTAGATTTTTATTATATGACTGCATGATAATATAGGTAAGAAATATCTTAAATCTTAGAAATATTTTATTATAATGGTTATATATTTTAATGTATATTGAACTTTAGAGACTATACTATTATAACATTAAAAGTACAAAAATAAAAAATGGGGCAAATTGCACAATTAACAAAGTTAAGGGTGCTTTTTGCAATTTTTGTTTGAAAATTATTTTGCCAGCCAGACCTTTTTTTTTTTTTTTTTTTTTTTTCC